GGTTGATCGTTATTAAATTATTCAAATTTCAAAATCTGGGGGTATATTTTAGCCCGCCGCTTTTTGAATTTTCAAAATATATTTATTGTAATGGTTTGTTGGTCATTTGTTGTTGTTTGTTAGATATATTTTCACGTTTGATGGTTGATCGCTATTAAATTCTTAGAATTTCAAACCCCGCTTTTTGAATTTTTAAAATATACTTATTGCAATCGGTTTGTTGGTTAATCATTACTTAATTATTCAAAACTCAAAAATTTGGGCGTATAGTTGGCCCCCCACTTTTTGAATTTTCAGAATACATATTTTTATTGCAATGGTTTGTTGATGTTTGATAGTTACATTTTCACGTTTATTGGTTGATCTTTATTAAATTATTCAAATTACAAAATCTGGGGGTATAATTAGCCCCCCGCTTATTGAATTTTCAAAATATATTTATTGCAATCGATTTGTTGGTCATTTGTTAGTGTTTGTTAGTTACATTTTAAGTTTGTTGGTTGATCGGTACTCAATTATTCAAAATTCAAAAATTTGGGCGTATAGTTGACCCCCCACTTCTTGAATTTTCAAAATATTTTTATTGCAATGGTTTGTTGGTCGTTTGTTGATGTTTGTTAGTTACATTTACCAGGGTTGGCAAACAAAAACCCAAAGTACAAAAACCCAACAAAAGCCGGGTGGGTTTTTTACAAAAACATTTAGTAACAAAAACCCGGGTTTTATAATTTTTAGGTTTTTGCAAAGAATCTGTATTTTTATGCCTACAGTACGTTACGTTAGTTTTTACTTTCATTAACAAGCACTTCATTCAAATACCTTTATTTCACATTAAGCCATTAATAGACATACATTACATAAATATAACGGAAGAGTCTTCGATTAGAAAAAAAATAATACTTCTATAACCTTATAATGATAAATTATTAAATGTTGGCTTTCTAACTTTTTATAAAGAAGAGGACGCGGACGTTTATTTGATTTTTTTGAACCAACATAACCCTACATTTTTACAGTTTAGCTTTGACGTGTTTGTTCTATCCTGTAACAGATGGCGTCGCAATAATGCGGACGATAATCATACAAAAACCCAATTGCCCAGAAAAACCCAGAAAACCCCACAAAAACTTCAAATACCCAAGGGTTTTTAACAAAATCCCGGGTTTTTGCCAACCCTGACATTTACACGTTTGTTGGTTGATCGTTATTAAATTCTTCAAATTTCAAAATATGGATGTATAATTAGCCCCCCGCTTTTTGAACTTTCAAAATATATTTATTGCAATCGGTTTGTTGATCATTTGTTAGCGTTTGTTAGTTACATTTTTAAGTTTGTTGGTTGATCGTTACTTAATTATTCAAAATTCGAAAATTTGGGCGTATAGTTAACCCCCCCCCACGTTTTGAATTTTCAAAATATTTTTTATTGCAATCGTTTGTTGGTGTTTGTTAGTTACATTTTTACGTTTGTTGGTTAATCGTTACTTAATTATTCAAAATTCAAAAATTTGGGCGTGTAGTTGGCCCCCCACTTTTTGAATTTTCAGAATACTTTTATTGTAATGGTTTGTTGGTCGTTTGTTGATGATTGTTAGTTACATTTTCACGTTTGTTGGTTGATAGTTATTAAATTCTTCAAATTTCAAAATATGGGTGTATAATTAGCCCCCCCCCCCCGCTTTTTGAATTTTCAAAATATATTTATTGGAATGGTTTTTTGGTGATTTGTTAGTGTTTGTTAGTTACATTTTTAAGTTTGTTGGTTGATCTTGATACTTAATTATTCAAAATTCAAAAATTTGGGCGTATAGTTGGCCCCCACTTTTTGAATTTTCAGAATATTTTTATTGCAATGGTTTGTTGATATTTGATAGTTACATTTTCACGTTTGTTGGTTGATCATTATGTAATTGTTCAAATTTCAAAATGTAGGCGTATAGTTATTCCCCCAATTTTTGAATTTTCAAAATATTTTTATTGCAATCCTTTGTTGTGTTTATTAGTTACATTTCCACGTTTGTTGTTTGATCGTAATTTAATTATTCAAAAATTTTTACAGTTTTCGACGATGTGGGCACTGTCGGCGTACGTACTTAGTGTCCGTCGGCGAAGTGAGCATGGTCTTGTGGTCACTTTGGCCTTAGTGTCCCTTGTACACCTGTCGGTGATGTGGGCACAATCAGCGTAGTGTCCGTCGGCGTAGTGTCCCTGGTCGGCGATATGGACCATTAAAAAATCCTGTCGGCGTTGTGGGCATTCGGCGAAGTGCCCTCGACCCTTAAATGATTGCGTGCGATGTGAGATGTCACCAAAGAAGAAGAAAATGAAGTATTTTTTTCTGAATCTGTACAATATAGAGTATAGCAAGAACTTTGGGATTTATTTCAGATGATTTACATAAATAACTATATACGCACAAATTTTTGAATTTTGAATAATTAAGTAACGATCAACAAACAAACGTAAAACAGTAACTAAGAAACACCAACAAACGATTGTAATAAAAAATATTTTGAAAATTCAAAAATAGGGGAATTAGCTATACGCCCAAATTTTTGAATTTTGAATAATTAAGTAACGATCAACAAACAAACGTAAAAATGTAACTAACAAACACCAACAAACGATTGCAATAAAAAATATTTTGAAAATTCAAAAAGTAGGGGGGGGGGGTAACTATACGACCAAATTATTGAATTTTGAATAATTAAGTAACGATTAACCAACAAACGTGAAAATGTAACTAACAAACACCAACAAACGATCGCAATAAACATATTTGGACATTCAAAAAGTGGGGGGCTAACTTATTATTAATTATTTCAGCTTATATTCTCGTTAAGGCATGAAATGTCCATGAGGGCTATTAAAATCGAAAAAACAAATTTGAAAATGCACTTTTCGCCTGTTGCTCACAAGCAGCTTAACGAATTTTCTTATTTATTTATTCTACTTCTATTTTATTTGGTGTTTTTAGTAGTCTTTATTTCAGAACAATTGACAAGGTCGAGGACAAGGTCTTTTGTATTGATTTTTCGCGGAAATTTCAATGACTTCTCAGGAACTGTAGAACTCTTGATGATCTTATCAAAACTCCAAAAAAATTTGAACCAATGTGGGGGGGGGGGGGGGAAGCTGAGGGAAGTTGACTCCTCCCATATTTTCAAAATTTATTTTTTATTACTTAATTATACTTGGAATATCGATTTTAGAAACTCATTGAAAAAACGTCACAATTACTCAAAGGTCACACGAAAATTGCCAAAACTGCTACTTACTTCCCTATAATTTTACAACTGTCCGTGCCGGTTTAAAGTTTAAAGGCACTAGAAGGGCTAGTGCGGTTGTATGCGTTTTATCATAGACGTAGAATGATTGAATGCCAAGTAATGCCTAAATACACGAAACGTCTCCACCATTGATTATTACGTTTAAAATGGAAATTCATTTTTGAAAATTACGAGAAGAGTGCGAAGACAAAAAACCGAAAACTGCTTAACAAACTCACTCCTACATTTTTAAGACTCTACTTTTGGCTGCTGTAGAACACGAACGAAGAATGAATTTGAAGATGAGGTCAGTTACACCATTTTCAATGAAACCCGAAACTTGCGTCCATCGCTCGCGATAAATCCGGCGGTGTTTCGCTCGAAAAAATTGAAAAGCGGCCAATCAACAGGCACCCAGCTGTCATTTTTTTTCCCAAATAAACGCTCCGTTCCCACAGCGTAATTGGGGCGGCTTTGATGATCTAAATTTATTTCGCAATTTCCCGACGAAAATGAACGCAATTATTTTAAATGTACGCCGTTTATTGCGGTATTTTTGTAAACGCGTAAAGGGTTGGAAATTTAGATAAAAAGGAAACCCTACCGCATTACGACAGTGTGTGGGCTTCTTTCTTCTGTCTTGTGAATCCAAAGGAAGGTAATTCACAACACCTTTTTACAAGAACGCACGACTACTACCAGAGATGAACGGCGACTGATTCCGCTACGTCATCAACTTCCGGCTTTAAGGGGCGGATCTGTCTGCCCTCTTCGATTTCCGATATACTACACCCACACTCGAACCATATGGCTTATCATCAAGAAGGCGTTGAAATCCGCGAGTCGCCATAAAAACGCTCCCCATTTTGACGTCCGCGCGTCATTAACGAAAATAATAACATACTATACTATTTACTACTCGCGCGCGTACTTGAAAAATCCTTGGAACTGAAAAAACAACAACGGCGGGCGCCTCGGCTGTCGGCGTTACGAAAACAGCTGATTGCGTGCATTTTAAATTAAAGGTCCTCGATTTTTGAAGGGCTCGATAATTACGCAATCACCTGTTAAGTGTAGGTACCTCTACGTGAACAACAGTGCCGGTCTACGTGCAAACGGGCGAGATCATCGAACCGTCTCCGCCTTCTCGGTCATAAGAAAGTACTAAATCAAATGCCTACCATAATTTTGCAGTTTATTTTTCTACTAGCTGCAGTATTTTCCATACGAACGGCCATAGTAAGGTTTATCACAGACAGTTGCAGTTGCACGATAGGGGTGTGTCTAATCTAAAGTATTGATGGCACTGATTAGTGAATGTCATTTCGCGGCACTGTGGCAATTTAGACGGGCTTCGAGTGCACGTGAAGCCCTAAGCGACGGGGGGCACCGGGACGATGTGATAACACGGAGGTAGCCCAGTTTTTTTTAAAGCGCCACTCCCCGCACTAAGCGGACACCATCTTGACCGTCCTAAAGTTCAGTCATTTTCCGCGAGAGGCACGCTTCGCAAACCGAAGAACTAATAAACTTGTACTACGCGATCGGAGCGCGCGACGCGCGGCGACGGCGTTTTTTGCGCCGATTTTAAATAATCAAAACAAATACAATTTTAAACGGAGGCGATTTTTGGAGAGTGAAAGTGACCCCATACACACACACACACACACTTCGCGCTCGGGTCAAGATCGCGCGTGATCCACCCGATTAAATTAAATAAGTTGTACTTACCAGATTTCCGTAATAAAGAATCATTTGAAGAAGAAGGCGAGTGAGGTAATATCAATTTACCTGAAACAAGAGAAAAAAGTAAATTACCTTGTCGGAGTAAATTGACCGAAAGTAATCGTCTCTAACGGCACGCGTCGTCAATAAGCTACAGGTGTTAAAATACCGCTTCCGATTGCAATCAAAATTTTAGTGAGCGCTATTTAAATCGGTTCTTAGATGTCTACTTCCAAAATCAATAACTTCCTTGTAGATGTAGACGACCTTTCCGCCGGCATGACTCTTTTTGGAGCGCCGTTGAACTTTTTATTTAGAAACTTTTAGATCAGAATCAGTTTTGTTCTTTCTATTACTTTATACATATACTCCCATACCGAGAAGACATGAATTTCTTTGGAAGGAGCCTCTTATTTAAAAATGTATATCATTTTTAGCGCAGCCACTTTCTCTGTTTCCAATATATTTAGTTCGTTCTTTTTGCATTCTGGCACCAGGAAAAATTTTGACGAGTAATGTGCGCATAATGTTATTTATGGAGATATTTTTTTGAAATCTTCACAACAAACAGTGAGACCTCTGGTGGCAGTACACTGCAAAAATCCAGTTGGAAGAAGACCGCCTTTTTACCAGCAAACTGTGCATGGTCCATATACAGTATATATAGTCTTAGGGAAAGTCCTGATCTGTGCATGGAAGATACGCTAAAGTTACTCGCCTTGGAGAGAACATCAATTTTCTTGTTTAATAAATAAATACTGAAAACAATTTTCTCTATACCTATACAATACACTGCGTCCAGGATGTTTTATCATAGGGATCTCGGAAACCATAGAAGAAGGGAAAGTTGCGCAATTAAAGACTTATTGTCATACAGTAAAGAAAACCTGAAAATTGCGTTACTTCCGAAGAAAAACCGAAATTTCCCGATTTCGTTTGCTGTTGTAATTTCCTTTACTCCTTTAACAACGTTTCGTTTCGGGGTCCGTTTGGAAATGATTTCGATTTTTAGATGTCTTGCTAACTTCGCACACTTTTGTCGGCACAAATCCCGGGACTGGGTGGATTGGTTAGTGCTTCATTTGTGCCGGTTTGTGCCGTAAAAAGTTTGCCAGCAAAACATACGGTTTGGAAATTATTTCGATTGTTAAAGGTTCTGCTAATAGGCCAGTCATTGAGGATTTTTACCTGGAAATAACTCGGGAAGTACAGAAATTTTGTATGCTTGAGTGCGTAGAACTAAAATTCATAAAATGCACAATTCTAAACTTACCGCCGGGGTGCGTATTGGCATTCTGTACTATTATTCAGAGCAGCTCTGGTCTGATTCGCAGTATACTATGGCTTCACGTTATGCGCAATTTGATAATACATTATATACTGCGATTCAGAGCGCCGATATGGTTTAGTGCTCGGTGTCGTGTTTGTTTTATTACTAAAATCAGCTAAGCACTTGTCGCACCAAACACTGTTAATATCTTCACCCGCTTTTTTAAATTTCGCTTTAAATCCATGTTCTACTAGTTCCAAATATATACGATCATTGAAAACTTATTCTCGTGGCACATTTCAACCAATGCCTCTTTATAGATCATTTTAGTGCAGTTTGAGAACCTTGATTACACACAAACAACAAAAAATATGCTTTTTTCTTGCAAAGGGAACAATAAAAACACACTTTTTGTAAGTGTATGATGTGTTTTATAGAAACCCATTATATACAGTGTTTCAGAACTCTAAACCATATCGGTGATCTGAATCGCAGTATATAATGTATTATCAAATTGCGCATAATGTGAAGCCATAGTATACTGCGAATCAGACCAGAGCTGCTCTGAATAATAGTACAGAATGCCAATACGCCGCCGGGGTCGCCATTTTGCCAAGATGGCCGTCAAAAGCGGTTTTCCATCGATATCTCCAAAACTGCGCATTTTACGAGAAAATATGTGGTGAGCAAAATTAAAGAAACGAAAATTTCCTACAAAAAATGTAGTTAGCATATTTTCACTAAAGTTAGCCCTTACGCAGAAATTCAGAAATTTTTAATGACCAGTGGTGTATATTTTATCCAAATAATTCATTAATCATTTAATTAATGAATCAAATTGATTAATCAATTAGTCTATGATCAATTAATTTTAAGATTTTATTTTAGTCGTCTCCAACTTCAAAGGTGAGACATATCAATTTTCAAATTTTATTAGTTAAATCAATTAGTTATATATTGTTATATTCAATCCCTTTAAGCCAGCATTATGGACTTTATTTGTTTGGTTTGTGATTTGATTATTTATGTTAATTTTACGTTAAGAGCGCCATACCTATAGCAGGTGACCTTGCACGTGACTAATTGATATGCAGCTCTAACCACACCATCACACTCCCCCGCAAGAAAACCATACGCCACTGTTTCTCTTTGTATCCCTAATGCCCACTTAGCACTTACTTTTGATTACCTTCGTTAGGCGGCGCCACCTCACAGTCGCTTGAAAGGAAAATTTCTTTTTTCCATTAATAATAATGTAACGGAAACGCTCCAGACATGACGTCGCCTTTGGCGCTCTGGAATTTTCTACGCGCGCGATAGTGGGATTTGTATAGGAATATTCGAGACTATCCGGTAATTACGCGAGTGTTCTGGACTTACATTGCTTGCGTGTATAAATGGTTGCGGACCGAACATCGCAGGCAGTTTACTACCGAACGAGATCGAGTACGGATGAAACATCGAGCGCGGAAATATAAATTGCGAAGTGTGTGATATAAATAGTCGATATAAATTGTACAGTTTTTATAGTGTTTTAGTTTTGTTTAATAAATATTGATATAAATCGAACCCGAATTTATAAATCACGTTACAATAATAAAATACTGCCTTGAAGTTATTGTTTTATGGACTAAAATCTCTAAAATAAATTACTATAGCATGGAATGGCCAGAATAAGCGCTTTCCATGATAGACTATGAATTAGAAATGACAGTAAAAAAATTTCAGATAATGATCCACCGTCAAAAAAACCTTACGGTTTGGTTTCCAGTTTAAAGCTTTTAAATGAGTATTTGAAGTTGTTCTTTAATCAATTTCAATATCAATATCAAAAAATCAAAACTTAACTTTTCCGCACGGTAGCATCTGTTGAGACCCAGCACTTTCCTTTTCATTGGATTTACTTCTCATACATCGCTTCGCTTTTATTGAGCAAAGTATGTAATCGATTTGGCAATTAACTACATGGATGTTCAATTTGATTTACCGTTAAAATTTCACAAAAATTGGTCAACAAATAAGAAATTTACTTTTGCACATGCGCGAAAGAAGTTTTTGATATGTTTGAAATAATCGATCGATTTTCCTTTAGTAAAGGATGCTAATGTTAAAATTTCAGTAAGATCGGTCCATAAGTAACAAAGTTACTTTTACGCATGCGCAGAAGATTACGGCCTACCAGTTTGGAAATTAATGGGTGCCTTTTCCACGCGGCAAGGACTGAAAAAATGTACGCAATTTGTCCCATTCAATTTTGAGTTATTGTGCTAAAAACAACCCGGACAACGACAACGGACTTTTTTCTGTGATGAAAACAATACTTTACTTACCCATATATGGGTGCGGAAAAGTAATATCATAGATGATATACCTATGCGATTTATATACACTTTATATACTACTTTAAACCACAGTAGGCGATGTGAAACAAAAGCTGATCTAGAAACTAAACTGTGTTGACATTGTAACTGGAAACATTTTAACAGACAAAGAGTCTGGCACAAGAAAGTAAATAAAAAAATTATAGAAACTTGAGAACGAAATAAAAGATTATTTTTCATAGCCTACTGTGACTTAAAGTAATAAAGTTTAAAAAAATCGCATAGAAAACCAATATCATTCATGGTGTGTTATATTTTTATCAGGCCGTGTGGCGCAATTCAGTTTAGGCTGGAGTGCGGTACTATGGGTCACTGGTTAGAATCGGCGTTCGGGCATAGATATTTGTAAATGTATAGTGGGTTGGGTTGGTAGAGCGACCTTGGATGAAACCCCGCCCACTCAAAAATAAAAGCAAAAATAAAATATTTAATATGCTACCTTTTTAGATTAAAATATACAAGATGTTCCACAAAACACACGAGATTAGGTACGACATAATTTACCTGACTCCATACACTTATCTTGTATATACAACGGCAGAACTTAGGGATTCTTATCTACCTATTTCATGTAGTGCAATCGGATTTAGCAGATTTGGACTTATATAACAGTTATCCCCTGAGTTCTTTACCATTTGGAGACCCAATCTCACGAATGACTAATACACCACAGACAGATGCTAATTGTAACTTCAATTATTTTACATTTGGTACAACACGCCGCGAAAGGCTGTCATTGAAAAAACGAAGCTAACACACACGTTCTTCTCCAACACAAGGATGATCTTATATAAACAAACCATCTGCAAATGTATGGCATACAATTGTCAACAAATTAGACAATAAAGTGTCATCAAAAGCACACTACACTTGTGTGAAAGCTATAATACTTATTAAAAACGTGCTGGGAGTTTTCACACATTCCCTTTTTTGGTCAAACTTTTTACTATACATTCCGGCACAAAGATAGCATTAACCCATGCGTGACATTAACATTATACTTAGTTTCAACAGTATAGCGACAAAAATGTACAAGGTTTCCAGAACATCTAAAAATTGAGATAACCTTCAAAGGCAATGCTTTGCTGGCAAACTTTTTACCCCACAAACCGGCACAAACGTAGCACTAACCAATCCATCTAGTCTCGAAATTTATGCCGACAAAAGTGTGCGAAGTTATAGCAAACATCTACAGACATCTAAAAATCGAAATAACTTCTTCCAGGAAAATATTTTCCTGGCGATACAGCACAAATCGGCACAAACGTAATTTGTGGAATATGTATCGATATTCCTTTATCGACTGAAGAAGGAGAATCCGACGAATTCAAAGAAGCCAACGTTGATCCCGAAATAGGGATAAACGTATTCGGCAATGAAAACAGAGACATTAACGAACCGCCAGGTCCGTCAGG